TTTTCCACTCCTCCGAGGTTTTTGATTTTTCCAGAGAATATAACTCCAAAAAAGTAAGCGTCGCCAATAGCCCATTGTGCAGCTCTAGTGCGACGTAAATGAACTACAACAACCAAAAAAGTAAGTGTGGAAGGGGGGAGTTATTGCAATCCTACAACCCTCCTTAGCAAGAATATCGGCCTGCAGCATTCATATCAAAAGTCAACGAAGTCATTGGTGAGGGAATGTGCAACTTCAGTTAGTCCAAGGACCGGAGCACCAGTAGGTAGAAGTCTGTCTTGGCTCCTTCGCCTACTGATATTTAGCTGGGTATAATGGAATGGCCTTCACGCCTTGGGTGGCCCTACCAGGAGTAAAATCCCGACGTACTTCACCCATTCCGCCCAGGGTCACCCTCCCGCTACGATGAGGCAAACAGTAGGATTTGAGAAGGGACAAACTGAAAGTAACGATAAAAAGCTATGCACGATAATGCGTTCTAAAGAGACACAGAGGATTAGAGAGTTCGCCACCCAATAAGGTGAACCAGGTTCGAATCCCAGAGGTGGATGATTGGTACGAATTCCACTCGCACCGACCACAGTGCTAACGTAAAATATCCTTAGAAGTACGCGGATCATGGGTTAGAATCCCCTTGCTGTCGAGTTAACCATGTGAGGTTTTCCTATCCATGTAACGTAAATGCGGGTTAGTTCCACAAAAAATTCCACCGCGCTGCGTTCTGAAAGCAACTAAATCCAATAACGTTAGAAACTGAGCAAAAATTAAAAAAGAGAAAAAATAAGTAGGGCATCATAGAATCCAATGATAGTGAACATTAATTAAATGCTAAGTAAGAAATTTGATGCTGGGTTAAGCACATACAATTATCTCTTTACTCAATAAAGTGAAAACATTGTCATAAACTAAGACTGATGCAAAAATAAAGTTTAAAAAAAGGATAAAAGTTAGTGGTGGGGCTGAGAGATGCAAGAACCATAATTTTTATAAGACGCTAAGCCAGTCATTTTCTTTTTTTGACTTCAGCAACGAATGGTAACAAATTGAAGACGTTTTTTCTCATGTAAATATTCATTTGTGACCATTAATGCATATATTAGACTTCATTTTTCATAAGAATTCTCCGAGTCAGCTATTTTCCTCAAAATCAGTCCTAAGTGGACTGGATGTACCAGTACACTCATCACTAGCAAGGGAATAGTATAGAAGAGAAATCCATGAATTTTTCAAATCCGTTATTATAATTAGTTCTAGAATAAATTGTAACAATTTTTTTTTACTTAATATCAAGTTCAATATCTTTTCTGCAAAAATATTTTAAACGAAGTATACTGTGATATCAAATATCGTTTCATTTTTTTATAAAAATAGCCTGCAAAGGACACTAAATAGAAAATTACTATATGCAGAGTTGGCAAGGTTTAGGACAAAAATGGATTAATCCACGGTTTAAACCGTCCTGTCCAAAACCCTTTCATTCAAATTAAGTCACAATTTAAAAAAATATTGCGAACATTTAAAGGTTAATTTTTGAACAAGAAACAGGCAAGTTTTTGATTTATTAAAAAAGTTTATTATTATTGTTAATAATGAATTATTTATCCTTATGTAAAAACATAATCAGTTTAAAAGCATATTTATTCCTGTTTAAGGGATAAGGTATTCACTTTTGTTGTTCAATGAATTATGGAGCTTCAAAAGTTATAAATCTTTTCTTATTAAATTATATTACTTTCTTTTAATAAGTTAAAGCAAATTGTATAAAAAAGTATCAAATTTTTATTAATATATGTAATTATTATACGAAGAATGTTTACCTTTTAACAATGTTCAATTTTTCGGACACTTTAAGACAGTTTTAATCAGTTTAAGACATTAAAACCCATGTGTCAAGTCCAAAACCAGTTTAGGACATACAAAACCCCAAACCTGACAATATGTGTTAATATCTGTATTTAAGCCTTTGCTGGTATGTTCATTTTGTAGAGCTGTAATACAAAGAAAGCAAGCCCACTGTTATATTTCCTCTTTTTGTCCCAAACATCAGAGCTTCTCAGTCACATGCTCCTTCTCATTCGGCGATTTTGGCGGAGAAAGTAGTCCTCTTTTCTGGTAGATTCGTGATTTCTAATTATACAGGGAAAACAGAGAAAAGTCAAAAGTTTCAGGAGCGTTAAGAGTGAGGGAACAGTAAAACATTAGATTATTTTTCAACAAGACTTTGCTAAATTAAAAATTATTTTAAAATTTCAATTTTTAATGCGTATAATCAGTACAAAATTGTTTACATTTTCACAAAATCAAGAAAATTATCATTTTTAATTTATTCAGCAGTTTTAAGAAACATACAGTCATTGTGAATCAACCCTGTATAATTTTCGTCTGGACTTATGGATATTGAAGAACAGTGAAACCTCGATTAAGCGGGCACTCTTCCAACGGAAAAATATGTCCATTTAAGAGAGTTGTGAGTTTACGGGAAGGGTACCTAATAAGGAAGTTTAACACAGTAAATTGTTTTGAGAATATTTTCAATTATGTAAAAATTAAATAATCTGTAATAACTATCTGAAAGGATATTTACTTAAACTTACAAAAAGAATATTTGAAAAAGTTAGATATAAATACATAATTCTAGATGTACAAATAAATGAACATAATTTCCTAATAATATAGATATTCAAGTTACTCATATATCCAATAGGAGCTTTTAGTCCTCAGTCAGTCTCAATTACTATGTTTACAACCCCCTAACACCTACCCATCACTTGACAGAAAATGTGGTTAATACTTCCTTGAAAGTAAACAATTCTACTTTCAAGGAGGTATTAACCACGATACATGTACACAATTAATCCAGGTCACTAAATATATTACAATTAACCACGATATATTTACAATTTATCATCTATCAAGTGTTTGAATAAATGTTTCAGTTATATGAACACCTCAAAGATTATATTTCTGTTCTCTTTTTTTACCCCAGCTGTGTTAAATACATTTTTCAAATTGATAAGAAAATGAAAGCAATTTTCAGTGGGGTAGAAGCATTGAGAGCTTTTAAGATGCATATCAGCTTGTGGAGTCTCAAAACCTGTGTCCTCTAGATAAAAACAAGCTGCTGTTGGAATGAGCAGTATCATTTCCTCTTCTTTCTTTGTAAATATAAGGCAGAGTGACAGAAGTAAGACTGATTCTTTAGTAGTGAAATAGCTTAACAATATTTTTAATTTAATTTATATATATATTTTTTTTTTTGTTGCAGAAAACGCTTTTTTTTTCAAATGTAGAAAAAATAGTGTCCGTTTGAAGAGATGGAAAATAACTTGTCATGGCAAAAATGACTATCCTTGTCCGGTTACAGGAGTCTCCGCTTTGAGGAGAATGTACATAATGGGTTATTCATAGAAGATTCACGGGAATTAAAAATATGTCCACATTGAAAGGAGTCCGTTTCGCAGGAGTCTCCATAACAGGTTTCACTGTATATAAAAACACACAATCAAATTTTGGAACATAGCTTTTGCAATAGTGCTGCATCCATAGATATCTTTTCAGATATTAGGGACTTTTCGAAAACATACAAGAAATGATTTTAGATCAGTCTAAAAATAATATAAAAACTGGGAATAAAAAAGAATTGCAGCATCTTAAAAAAAACCTCGTCACTCTTAAAAGTGTTTTATTTAAACTTTCCGTTTCTATTTAAACTTCTGTTTTTATTTAAACTTTACACCAGCCATGAGAGTAAACAAGTGTTAATACTGCTGCTTGTATTCAATTTTTTCACACATAATTTTCGTTTTTATAACTGTCAATGAACAGCCAACCCAATTTTATGGGCTTACGACCACTAATGTTTAACTTCGTAGCCTTGTAATTTTTAATCCAATCCAAAAGACAAGGGAACTCCTGGATCGAGTATTGGGAGAAATTTGCCCTTGTGGAGGGCTTTTTGATGGAACTAACCCGCATTTGCGTTACATGGGGAGGAAGACCTCGAGAACTTCCCACGGTTAGCCTCACTGCAAGGGGACTCTAACCCATGATCCGTCTACCACTGAGGATATTTCACGTCAGTACTGTGGTCAGTGTAAGCCGGATGCGGAATTCATAACAAATGAGATTCGAACCCGGTTCTCCTCACTGGAAGGCAAACGCTCTATCCCTTGAGCCATCGCGGCTCTTTCACACATTATTGCAATTAAAAAAGAGCAGATGATTTCAATTTAAAAATATGTAACGATTTCATCAAAGTATTACTAACTAAGCATTAAAAAACTTTGCCCCATTTATTGAATAGTTTCATAATAATCCTTCATACCCCTCTGAGCAAATGCATTTCACCAACTGAATCAATTCAATGGAAGCAACTGAAATTAAAAAATATTGATGAATTTATTCTTTCAAAACATTATAAAGACTAAAAAGTACAATGTAAACAAATGATTAAAGAAAGAAACAATGTCGCCAAAATTATGTATATATTTATTAAGATTTTAGCAATAAAATCATACATCAATAATGAATAATTCTATAAAATCATTACTTATAGTTGTGTTCTCATTTGTTTATATTTACTCGTAAGATAAACTTAAAAGTATACATTTGAATGTTAGAATGAATAAAATGGAAGAATTAGGATTAATATGATGTTTTAAGGGAAAAAATATCATTCCAAAAGTTCATTTATGTAATAAATAAAACAATTATAATTCCAAAAAGTGATGAATTAACTTGTCTGTAACATGTATAAGGTTCTCTCTTAACAAATTTTTCAGTGCAACCAAATATGGCACAATAAACCACCATATTTTTAGATTTTTGGCTTTAAAATTCCAGCTAAAAAGTAAATCCTGGGTTAAAAAAAATTATTGGATTTATTAAATAAAATTGATTGAAAGATTTACTTCACAAGCACGAAGAGATAAAAATATTTTTTCTTTTCTTTTTACAAAATATAATTACTTGTTTCAATATTAAGTAATACAGAAAAAGTGTAAAGGAAAAATAATTTATTGTCTAATAAAAACTTCACTTTTTTAATATATTAATAAAAACATTTCTAGGAATTGGAACATTTCCAACCATTCTGAGTCCTTTCTTTCCTTCTTTTTGACGCTGCAAAAGTTTCATTCTACGAGTAACATCACCACCATACTATAAAAATGAAAAGAAAAAAACACAGTTTGTAAAATACTAAATGCAAAGTATATCGCAAAAACAATTATTTAACAATATATGAAGATTGAAGAAAGTGTATGCCGTGACAACCTGGTCTGGCAAACACAGAGAAATGAGGGCTCATGATCTTGATTCTCGCCAAAGTTTATGATGTTTTAAAGCTCAGTGATGGGACATACACCAAAAAATTTAAAAGTGGTAATCAACATCAATTAATTAATTGCAATATATTAAAACTAGCACAATTTTCTTACTTATTTCTTTTAGTTCAGTTTTTAAAATGAATGTTCAGAATAGCAACAATCTAAACAAATTTGATGCTGAGTTTAAATAACTAAATTGAGAAATTAATGAATTGAGAAATCAATGAACTGAATTTCTACTGTTCTATCCTAAAAAGTGCAAATTCTACTTTTATTAATCCATCCTAAGTGAAAAATTGTATTTCCATTAAACCATTCTAAGTGCAAAATTTACGGGTGTTTTGAATATCCTAACTACTCCATATCTATTTAAACTATACATGAAAAATTGGTTGTTAGAAACAAAAAATTTATTTTGTTTGAAAATCAATATAATTAATTAATAAAATAATGTGAGAAATTATACTAGGCTCATTCCAATGACTAGAATTGCATACCTGCCAACATTGTAATCTGCATGACCTTACGATTCTGAGAAAGTATTTTACTCAATATAGTGCTACACAGAAAGTGTTATTAGAGGACATTTTTACACAAAATTTAGAACTATTTGTTACTAAATTTATAAAACCTATGAAAATACACTAGTCAATTTTGTATATATTTTTTACAAAGAATTTCATTTTGAAAACAATAATAAAAACCCTTTTTAAATCTTGAATAACTTTTTTATTACAAAATTGTTTCAGCAAAAATACTAATACTTAATCACAATTTCAAAGTTCAATTTCTAAATTAATAAAAAAAGGAAAAAATTAAATCAACGTTAGACTTAATTAAAAACAATTTTTGCTTTAAATGTTCATATGCAGGAGACTTAGTTGCTTTTAAGAATTTTTTATCAAAGGTCTGCTCATAACAATATCCAGTTTGAGTGTGAAACAGATTAACTTTAATGCCAACAGATGGCGTGCAGACTGAATGAATATTAATGTTTTTATTTTGTTTCAGTTTGATTTCTATAGCTTTGATGAAAGATGATCGTTTATGTTATGTCCGTCCTCTTCTTATTAAATATGTTTTATTATTAAAGTTCATTTTCTTTTGAAGACAAGCGACGCAGTATCGAAGTGTGGTAAAAAGATACAACCAGGTAGGAAAGAATATTTTAATTATTTCTACTTTATTTCTTCAGAGTGGTCTTGAAAATTAGAATGTCCTTTAGTGATTTATCAGGCAAAGAATTTCTAAACTGTGATCTATTTTTTTAAAAACTATGCTGAATACTCTCTCACACCCAGCATTGCCGTGAGGTATGCTTAAAATAGCCACTATTATTTTTGTTATCCTACTATAATTTTTTAAACATTCATCTTTGGATGTTATTTTGGAAACAACATGCCATTTTTTCTTGTCTATTTCTATTTCTTGTGAAGGTAAATCAGTAATTTGTAAATCACTGAATTCTTCTAAAAGTCTATCTCTCTTCATACCTTCAGTTTCTTCAGCATTTTCACTAAAACACATTCATGGAAATTCTTTTTAAAAAAAATCTACATCTTTGAATGATTTTGTGCAAAACTTTTCAGTATCTGCTACTTCAGCAGACAATAAAAACTTACTATTCAAAGGAAATTTCTGCCAAATACAGTTGCAGTCTGTAATAAAATATTTTTCTTGAATACTGTTGCTACAGAAAAGCCTTTTTAAGGCTGATACTAATTTGGAAGCAGCACTACTAATTATAATATATCATCCAATTTATGATTCTTCTCTGAAACAAAGTTAATGTCCATGAGAGAGGAGCCTTTAATAACATCTAGTCTTGAAACCAATTTTGAAACTTAGTGTTTTAATAAATCCAATTAGAAAGAATTCAAAGTATGAATTCTTAGCTAGCAGGATAATTAAAGAGTTTTTAAAAACTGGGATAATGTAATTTAAAAATAAACAATAAGTTTTACACATACCCAATGAAAGAAATGAAAGCATTTGTTCTTTCCTAGTCAAAGTTGATTCCTGTTTAGAAGATTTTGTCAAAGAATTATTTGAGCAACAGTCTACCTTTAATTTCTTCACAGATTTTTCTATTTCTAAAAGTCTTTTCTTTTTAGAAAGATTTTCATTCTCTCCTTTGCCGTCATTTACTGATTTTTTTTTAAAGGTATAGAGTAGTCATTAAAACCATTGAAATTGGTTTTTTAATTTAGTTGATCCTTATAAAAACTACACAGAGGATCCCATTGTTCCAAGCTTCTACTCAAAGAGAGTGATCTTGTGCAACTATGTTTCAAAATTATTATTATGTATCAGCACCAAATAAAACCTCTAAATCAAAAAAAATATCAACCGAAACATCACTTTCAGCAGCAATGTGTGGTAAATGGCAAGGACAGTCAACAACAAAAATTTCTGGATTTGCTGTCTTAACCTCTCGACATATCATCAAAACTCTAAACTGTGCAGAATTATTAATTTCTTGATATAGAAATGATCTTTGATTGCACTGTAAACCACAACTCGCTACAGAATGTTGACAGAGATGCCAACTGCTCCAGACACGAAAAATAAATTTTAAAAAATGGTAAATAACTACAAACTAAAATTTTGTTTGTAGTTATTTAAATATTTGACTATTTGCGCTTGATTTTTAAAAGGTATAGTATGACATAACTACTATAAAGTGGTGAATTACATAAGCCTACCAATTATTTAGAAATAGTGATGGATAAAAATCTACTAAATTGAATTTATTAAACCAAGAATCACAATTTATAAACAACCACTTTAAAATATTCAATTGCTGTTCGGAGCAAGTTGGCATCTCTGTGTTGAAGACACATCAATTATTGCTTTGACATAAGAAACAAATGACGTCTACCAGACGTTTTCGTATGTCGAGGGGTTAAATACAGCAGCAAAACCACCAACCATCACCGACACATTATCGCAGCTAAATGCCAAGCTATTTTCCTAAGGAAAATTTTTTGATTTTAAAGTATTTAACACCAAATTACTGATGTTCTGTCCAGTAGAACTTGCATCTAAAGTCAGAACTGCAAGCAGCAATACTTTGACTTCGTTGGCTTTTGTGTCGAAGTAAGAAACAATTATAGGATAAAATTGTACAGCTGCATTATTTGCTGCCACAGCAAACATTTGTCTCTGAAGAGATTCAACAATGGTGGCAATTTTAACATAGACTATTTTTGGCACAAAAGCAGCAGTTTTTGTTCGTCCTGCAACAGATTTTTTTGCAACATCCTTTTAGGGAACATTTTCCTAAATAATGGGCTCGCATGATTTGCGATACTAATAGGTTGATTGTGCTCTTCAATGAACAACGTAAAATACACTTCGGTCTTTATTACATCCATCAATTCCAGACACAAAATATTTGCTAATGTTTTCAATTTCATTTACACATTCCGCTAAATCTTTGTCTCTTCATACGTATATGATCATTTATATCGTTCTTACCACCATCTGCTATTTTAAAATCTAGTATGAATCCAAACATTACAAAACACATAGTGTTGTGATTTGTTAGACTTAATTATTCAAGGAAAACTTTTAGAATAAGATTCTAAAAATATCTGAAAGTAAACTTTATGAGGCACAGTTACATATTTTAAAGCAAAATCATACCACAATCTATGCACACCAAATCATTAACACAAATAACATCACCATAACCAAAAAGCGCTCTTAATCTAGAAACTCCATAACCTATGGTTAAAATGAGTTAGCATTGCTTATTCATTCATTGCTGGTAACATGATCCCATATATCAGAGGTCTTACTGGCTCATTTCGTTGAGGCGCATATCCACTCTCATTGGTTACCAATTGTTTGTACTTCACATGATTGGCTACCGAAACCAACCAGTTTACAATTTGATTTAAAAAAGCACATTGTTAGTTAAAAATATTCTTATTGTTAATTAACAATAAGAATATTGTAAATTTTATTTATTTTTTCTTCTTAAAAAAAACTTAAGAACTGTAAATAAATATGCAACCATATAATTTTAATGCTTGCCCTTATGATCGGGTAAAATACCATACACTGTAGGACTAAACCGTAAAAGTTGGCTGGTATGGAGTTGATATACCACAAGCATAATGCTTATCTGTCGTACTTAGGAGTACCAGGACATAGTAAATTTTGGGAACCCTTGGACTAAGTCATTTTAATGAAAGGCCATTTTATCTGATCTTCTACAATTTTATACCCATCTTGAAAAAAATGCAAAAAGAAAAAGCAGAAGTAAATATAGATCAGGAGTTTACAGATGTTTTGCTTATAAAAAATATTAGATAAATTTCATGCAAAATTCTCTATCTCAACACTGAAAATAAGCTTCGCAAAACAACCATTTCTTATTGCTTGGCAGACATTTTTAACCACCAAGGCAATTTCATTAATTTCATTCAAAAATGTCTCAGCCAAGCTCTGCTTCTTCACTAATTAGAGAATACTACTAGGGGTGATCCATACATATATTTGTTATTTACTGATATTAGAATTTGCCAAAACTGATAGAGGGTAGGAAGCATTATTTTTATAGTTGATATTAGGTTATGTCGAGAATTATTTTTCAATTATTAAAACAATACAACTTTTCAGAAACACTGTAAATTCGTAGGGGCGGTGGATGGGTGTGAATGTAAAGAATCATGTTTTCCTGAGAAATGAAGACCGATTGTTCAATATCGGTGATCATTTCTTCCAGACTCTCCTTGATCGCTCAGTGAAATTGATATTACAAAGTTTCATTTTTACAGGTTAAAACGTTTGGAATTTAAAAAAATTTTAAATTTCAATAGCGAATACTTTGATTTACTTTCTTTTGATGGATGCTTACGAAGCAATTAAAACTGTTTGCTCTTTTGTAATGCAAAATGAAAATTTAAATTATTTTTTGGTTACAGTTGATAAGTTAAAAGACTTTTGGAAAGCATGTGTGACCACAACAGTGAGCTATAACTGATTATTTTATTAATGATCTTCTCTTTGAACAATGAATCAGTTATTTCCAATTAGTTAGTCACTTTTCAGCAATTTTATATTAGCTTCTACAGAATTTTAAAAAAAAGTAGAACTTTAAAATTAAGTAAACTTTTTGAATTTCACCAGTACAATATTTTTTCCTTCCTTTATAACTTAATTATATTTTTAAAGAAATTAGTTATATTTAATATGAGGTGTGCAAAAATTACTAATTTAATATAAAGTGCAAAATAAAAACATTTATCGAAATGAAATACATGTTAATCTACATAGTCATAATAGGCATTTAAGATTAAAAAAACATAAATAGATAACAGATAAAGATTAACAGGAAATGTGTGTATATTATACAATTTTAAACAAAAAATTTTCACAAAAAGTAGTTTGCTAATGTAAACTACTTTTAACGTAAACAAATTTTCTGTACCCCTTTGAATTAACATTAACGAAGTTTGACTGTATATCATATTTTTAAGCCTTATATATTATTTATATGATATATTATGTCATGTTAAATATTTTGTGTAAAAAAAGATATATTTAAAGACTAGATTTAATATTTAATTAACATAACTATTTTGTGGCCAACAGTATAATAGTGGCAATGTCAACAGCATTACGCACCAACTGTCTTTATTCCCCAGGCAAGCTAGTATTTAAAGACTTAATGCTGGGTGGGTTTCAAGCAGAAGCCACCAATCAAACACTAGCTCCTCATAATGACAATTTAGTGCTTTTTAATACAATAATAAGTTTAAATACAAAGTTATCAATCATTGTTTGAAAGTAACAACAAGTAATAAGTATTTATTGAATTGATTTACTAAAATGCTTATCTTCTGTAAGATAGTATAGAACAAAATAGTATAAAACAAGTTTTTTTCTTCTGAATTTCAAGTTTTACTTACTAGCTTTGCTGTTACATTCTTTTTCAAAGCTTTGATATTTTCTCGGGCAATAACTTTTGCACCAATACAAGCTTGAATAGCTATTACATACAACTGAGGTTCAATGCATTCTTTTAAGCGCATACACAATGATCTTCCAACTTGTTCAACTTTAGATGCATGAATAATATGGGAAAGCTCATCAACAATTTTACCATTTAAATATATATCTATCTGAAAAAGCAAGTTTACATTATATTATATACTGCTCATGAAATTGTACTGCACATTTTACTCTTCACATTTATACTTTATAAATATCAGAGCTGCAATAGTTGGTAATAACAGAATATAAAAATAATGAAATGTCTTAGCTGAACCTGAAGTGAATAAGCAAGAAACAAATTAGATGAGATAATTTAATTGGTCATTCATTTCCAGGTGCCAACTGTATATTAATATTAATTATTCAGAAATTATTTTTATCTCACAAAAATAATTAGATTCAAATGTAAATTTCAAAGAAGTTTATAATGTTACGACATTTTTAAGCTCAAATTTGACAGAAAAGTTTATGACAAATGAATTTTCAAAATTTTATGACAGAAACTATTTTAAGTCAATACAAGGTAGCAATAGCTTAGATATAGTTTAATTCCAAATTTCTGTAAACACAATTCATAAAAGCATTTAGATCTCTGCAGCAAAAGTCATTTTGATTAGGACAAAAAAATATTTTTTTAATTCCAGTTACAACTTTATATAAATAAGGAATGTTTTAGTTATGCATACCCATAAACTATTCAAGATTTATTATTAGGATGATATATAATATTAGATATTATCATGACAGTTTAAAATAAAAATCTACAACATCATGAATTTTATCAAATGCAAAATTGAAAAAAGATTAGTTACTGTTATGAATATCAGTATCAAATTACAAAAAAAGTAAAATGGCAAGCAGTATTCTTCTCAAAATCTCTGTAAACTGATGTAGTTTAAATTCCCCAAATGAATTTTAATTGATTATATTCTTTAGTATTGTTGCAACTTTCAAAACTATTTTAAAAACAGATATTTTTGTGACAAACAAAAATTCAATTCTAACAGTATAGAATTGAATTTTTTTTAGTGTAGCTTCAACAGTTTTATAATCAGAGAAAGCAGGTGTTTAAAAAGACTAATAATTGGTATATCAGAAATTTTCATTTTTCAAATGTTAATAATGTAAGGTGGAAAATATATAAAGTAATCAAAGAACATAATCCAACTCAAAATGAAGCAAAATGAATAAATATTAAATTATATAGAGGATACTTTAATATCCTTTTCCTACAAAAAAGCATGAAATCAAATCAAAAATGTATGCTTTTTTTTTTAAAAAAAATTATGACATAAATCAATATTAAAAAATTATGACAAGTTTTTTTTACCTTTTTTAGAACACTTGATTCATAACCTATTTCTTCATAATCAAAACTGAAAAAAATTTTTTTTTAATAAGAATCATAAATAACCATAGTATAAAATTTTGTTGAATATCTATTTCATGATTCATACATGGCTGATCTTAAACACACTGAAAACCCTTTAGTGATTTTATACTACTTTGATGTACCTTATAAATAGGAATTAATTAGCATAAACAAACTGATGAAAAAATATTTTCCCCTCTCACCTAATAAAGAAAATAATGAAAAAATGCTTGATATTATTCCGTTCAGCAAAAATCATAAAGTTTAAAGGTTGCTCAGTTTCCTTTTCCTAAGTATTTAAATCATTTTTATGTATAAGTATATTTTTTCAAAAAGTTGCTTCAATTGAATTTAAGTCAATTCTTACACTTGTGATAATTACAGCATAATAGTGACAATTGGTTTAAAAGTTCATATGTGCTTTATAACTATTCATGTCAGATATTGCTTAGATCAGGATCAGAGTTGGGTTNAACCATGGTTTAAACTGTCAAAAACTGTCACATGTCAAAAACCTGCCAACCCTGATCAGGATGTGGTATTTTTCCTCTTTTTTTAATATAAGTCTTAATACACATGACAAGCACAAATCAACAGTTTAATAAACATATTAATTGGTATAGAACCCAAAAAAGTTATAAGTTGTATAAACAGCAACCTCTAGTTATTATTGCAAGATTATATCAAGGGAGCATTCTCCCATGTGAAAGATGGCCACAACAATCTGTAATTTTTGAATCTCTGCACGCCATAATATACTAAATTTCTGTGAAAAAAAAATTAGTTCCTAAAATCGCTGATAAGGAAATTTATGCGACTGTGCAATGCAAAAAGTGCTAAAAACACATACATAATAACAGAAAACATAATAACACATACAAATAAGAAAGGCTAATAGTTAAATTAACCCGTTAGCTTCGACAATGTTGAAAAAAATTTAACTGAAACACAACATACGTGTCTCATGGTCGCTAAGTGTTAAAATAATAATTTAAAGATCATTTAGCAAACATTTTATGTGAATACGATAAGTGCACAAGGATAGATTTCAGACACAATGCCTATGTACTCAAATTATTTGTAACATTTATTTCACATGTTTTTTACTCTTTTGATTGCTTTGACTAGTTTAAATTTGATGTTAGAGCATAACTCCTAAACGTAAGTGGTTTCCAACAATATAGTTCTAACATTATATATGATTGAATAATAAATTTTTGATAATGCTAATCAGAATTTTAATTTTAGATAACACATAACTAGTGGTATAAAAGGTCAAAAATTAAATAAGTAGTTATCAAACATGCTATAAGATGAAGGTAAGAAAAATAATTTATCCTGTTCTATGATCAAAAGTTAAAATTGGTATCTCACAATTTATTCAAATCAGATCTCAATATTAAAAAAAGGATTAATTTAAGAGAATGAAATAAAAGAAGAAAAGTAACTGAAAAGAAATGCAATTAATAAAAAAATCAAAAGACCTTGCAAAACCTGATGAAATCTGTTTTAACTCATCAAAAAAGTCTACAATGATTTCATTCATGGGAAATTTGTAGGTAAGTAATATGGTATGATCATCAATATTTTGTGCACTTTTTTGCTCTCCTCTTCTATTCTGAATTAAAAGAAAAAAAAGTTAGTTTAAGTCAGAAAATAAGTAAATTAGAAAAAACAATAATTTATTTGAATGCTACAGTAAGCAATGGTTTCATATATTATCAAACAAAATGAGTATCAAGTTTAGTGCTTCTTTTAGTAATACCTAACTCTTTTATTTTAATCTAATCTAATTAACTCTTATAAATGCTTTCAAATATTCTTTTTATTTACTCATTTTTTGGCATCCTAGCAAGCAATTAAATACCTATGACACACCAAGTCAAGAAAATCATTAAAGGAGAAAGTAACCTTAAAAATTCTTCGAATTTCCAGTCAGAAGATGAAGCTTCATCTCAATCTATGCTTCTATAATATTGTTATGGTCAAGGTATAAAGGGTCACAATGAAGCAAAAAAGAGAGTCTGGAATTAAAGAAAGAGCTTCAAAACAGAGTTTTAAATCCATTTCAAAAATATATCTTTAGCTAAAGTAATTTAGTGTATGATCACTTAACTAAAGTAATTTTGTGTTAGTAAAATCAGCACATGTGTGTGATGATCTCTAGAGCATATTCTAAATACTTAACAAAATTCCTTGAATTTCATTGCTGATAATCCTCAAAAAGCTAGAAACAGTCACTTTTATGTTTCATTGTTGGAATCTGGCAGCGAAGATTGAAATGAATTCTTCTTGAAATAAATTTGCTACAAAACTTCATTAAATATTGAATAATTTCTCACATACTTTAGAAATATTCTTTTAGTAAAAAATCTTTTTCACCCACATGGTGTTTTCCACAATTTTATTTTGTAATTCTATGGAAAGATAATCAGTTTCTAGATACACTAACACTCCTTTAATTCATTTCATTGAATATGCAGGATAATCAAAAAATGGTTATAGTATTTCTCAAAAAGTGTGACATTTTTAATATTATTTAGTTTTAAAAATTGAAACATCAAAAGAAGATGAAGACAAAAAAAAGATAAACTTTGCATTTTAGTGTCATGCTGTACATGCTAGAAATATATTGCAAAATTTTATCAAAACAAGAGCATTTGAAAGACAAAACAATTTAAAGAAAGAGAATCTTCAGTGAATGAATCACACTCTGGTAGAGAAATGACTTTTACTACATCACATTTACATGTTAATCCAAAACAGATAAATTGAACTTAACTGTTCTGGGATTAATGATTGTTATCACAATCAACCACAAGAAATTGATTGGAATAGGCATAACATAAGCATAAAATATAGAAGTAAATTTTGTTAGCAACTAATGATATACAATAATTATATCGCTGGAAGTAAGCTTGGTTTTTAATGTCGGAGACTCTTAAATAGAATAGTACTACTTCGTAAATAAAATGTATATAGTTGTAATTTATTCTATATCTTATTATTTAATTGTTGCAACATTTAAACAGTGTGACAAACTATGGTCAAATTCGGGTCACTAGTTGTCATGCTGTCTAAGTGTCACAACAATTAAATAATAAAATAACAAAATAAATTATTTCATTTACAAAGTAGTAATATGAAATTTAAGAGACAGAGACCTTAAAAACCAAGCTTTCTTTAAATGATATAATTATTGTGTATCATTAATTGCTAGTGAAATTTACTTCTACATTTCATGCTTTCATCTAAAAATAAGCATCTCAAAATAAGTGTTGTCTCACACATATATCCTGTAAATGTAAAAATCTGTGCCGAATTTAAAAACAAAATGAGTTCAACAGTACTTCAACTTATTCATCAATAATCATTTTTTATAACTACCTCTTTTAGAACTGCCTTATTTTTTTTAGAAATTGTGTTCATTAAAGGAAGGTGTAAGAACAGTTTTCATCTTTTCCTACCATTCAAATATTTGTAAGAAACGGAGAATATGAAATTCTGAAATTCTAAAAAAAGAATTCGTAGTGTTTATGCTTTTAGAGTTGCATGCAAGAAATGGTTTTCTATTGTTATTTGCTGGCAACATTCTTCAATAATCTCAGACATGCATAATATCAGTTTTTTCATGCAATTAAAGTCAGACAAAAACTTTTACAATCATCTGATGAACTGGTTTCTGTCCTTTAGAATTCAGCAATTTTAGAAAATCCTTTGAGGTTTGTAGCATAGTGCTTTTCCAATTGTTTCATAAACTTTCACAGTGCTCTCTTATAGCATAATAATCATTCAAAAACATATGAGACATTTTTTTGTCACATGTTTTTTTTTTGTTATAATATTTAATTACAAGTATTTAATTAATTTGTTACAATTTTTTTGTCCCCAAATGTTTTTATTTTCTATAATTTTTCCTCATAAAAACATTTTGAAAGCATATTATGAAAGCTTATTTTGGTAATTACAGAGAGAGGATACATTAGAGGAGAAATACATTGCAATCGAAGATTTACTTGACAAAGCTGCAACAGTTACTGTTAATAACCTGATACCAGTTATTTTATGAAGTGGAAGTTTTCATTGACACAGTTGCATCCATGTACAAAAATTGAAGTTATGTTATTGAGTTATATTAAAAATAAAATTTGAATTTTTCATACCAAGCACATTTTTAAAACAGCACTATAATAGTCTGAAGGAGTAATTATTGTTCCCAGTACCATTGGCTCAAAATATTCTTCAATTATTTCAGGAGGTGGAAACTATAAAAATAATAAAAAATAAACATTTTCAAAATGTGAATGAATTTAAAATTACTAAACTAATAATAAAATAGCATATATAACCTCATTTGGATTTGATACAATAATTTCTTCCCCACAATAGGTTTTAATATTATTTTGTCCCTTTATTTTGACTAAAAGAAAAATTACATTTTATTAAGTTGTAAAATAATGCACACATTGAATGACATAAAAAAAAATATCTAGAAGAATTCTGGTGTAAATAAAATTTTAGATCCCTAACTTAAACTCAGATAATTACTCACATCCTGTTTTAAAACTTTATAAAAAACTTTACTCTTTTTTTCAGAGAAACTTTTTTACAATATTTAATTAGATCCTTAACTTTATGGCTTTAATGTGCTTAAGATCAATATCTGAATAAAATAATTTTTAAAATTAGATAAAAATTATGTTGCAAAACTTATTTTAATACTAATCAAATTAATTTTAATTACTATTAATAATAATTACTTTTAATTACTATTAATAATTACTTTTAATACCAATGAAATGAAATAATTTTAATACTAACAAAAAATTTTAACACTAATGAACAGAAAGAACAAAATGATTTTGATTTCAGTTCATGGCAGAAAATCTCACAGTGAAAATTGTATGGAAAGTGGGACTAGTTGTGCTATCTCTTAGGAATATTCAGAAATACAAAAATAATCACGGGATTTAAAAAGTCATGTACAAAGCGAGGAATTTAATTTCAATAATGCAAATTTTTTCTTCGCCGCATTGCATGCGACGCTGACCACACGGGCACAGAAACGCAGAGCACATGAGATGCGACTCCCACAAGAAGAGATTAAAGCTAAAGCAAACACTTCAGGCATACAAACATTTTGGTAAATTTTTAATAATTGGTACACTTAAATAAATTTTGAAATAATGGTTAAAATTGCCCCATTCATTAACATTTTCTATATCTGGTATAAAATATTTTGAGAATGAAGTAGAACATTTGTGTAGAACACACACACACATATATATATATAGTTCAAATGATTATATAAAGTTCAAATATAATCAAGTGATAAATTCAAAATGAAGATAAAACAAAGGAAAATTATAGACATATGAAAAAAAGGGGGAGGGAAATAATAATGAAAAAAAAACAAATAAAAAAATTTAAAAAAAGATTAAATTTTTTTTAAAAAAACGGAAAATAAAGGATATAATCTTTTCATCTGTTCACACGATATATTAATCAGTTGTTTGTTATTATTATTTCTTCATTATTATTTCCCCCCCTTTTTTCATATGTCTATAATTTTAATTTGTTTTATCTTCATTTTGAACTTATCTAATGAGTTCTGTTTACTTGCAGCTTATGCGCAATAAATTGAAACTTACTGTTTTTCTTAACTTTCTTTTTACTTGCAGCTTATGGGCAATAAATTGAAACTTATTGTTTTTCTTAACTTTCTTCGTGTTTTCTTGTATTTATTTATTTTGTTGTATATATATATATATATATATATATATTAAAATTTGTGAGAAAAGTAGAAAATTTTTCATATCTCCATTACAATACAAATATAGCAAACACATTGAAAAACTATGGGACCATTTATAAATTAGTCACATTAAAAATAAATTTAAATATAGCACATGACAGGATATTTTTTAAGTAAATATAGTACTAAATATAGTAACAAGAAGCATAAATGAGCTTTCATAAGGAATAATATAAATATATAAAAGGAGCTTGCAATAATAAATTGTTCAAACTCTCTAGGCAATAAATTACAAATTTTAGTTTAGTTGAGAAATAAATTCTTGGCAACAATGATGTGCATAATAAGTATATTATGAAATAACCAATAGAAACAAACTGTAATTTTGCACATTTTAGGAACAATTAGATTTTAATGTAATAACTGAACAAACTATAAACAAAATAGTTTACGTTTATAGGGAATTCCAGGCGCAGTAACAATGACTTCAGTATTGAATTCTTGTTGCAGCCTCTGACAAAATACTTCCATATGTAAAAGGCCAAGAAAGCCTAATCTCCAACCTTTACCTAAAGCAGCACTAAGAATAGAAGAATAGAAAATAAAAATTTTAATAGACAGTACTCACATTGATATATATCATGTATATATATATATATACATGATATATATCAATGTGAGTACTGTCTATTAAAATTTTTATTTTCTATTCTTCTATTCTTAGTGCTGCTTTAGGTAAAGGTTGGAGATTAGGCTTTCTTGGCCTTTTACATATGGAAGTATTTTGTCAGAGGCTGCAACAAGAATTCAATACTGAAGTCATTGTTACTGCGCCTGGAATTCCCTATAAACGTAAACTATTTTGTTTATAGTCTGTTCAGTTATTACATTAAAATCTAATTGTTCCTAAAATGTGCAAAATTACAGTTTGTTTCTATTGGTTATTTCATAATATACTTATTATGCACATCATTGTTGCTAAGAATTTATTTCTCAACTAAACTAAAATTTGTAATTTATTGCCTAGAGAGTTTGAACAATTTATTATTGCAAGCTCCTTTTATATATTTATATTATTCCTTATGAAAGCTCATTTATGCTTCTTGTTACTATATTTAGTACTATATTTACTTAAAAAATATCCTGTCATGTGCTATATTTAAATTTATTTTTAATGTGACTGATTTATAAATGGTCCCATAGTTTTTCAATGTGTTTGCTATATTTGTATTGTAATGGTGATATGAAAANTAAAAAAAATTGACATATGAAAATAATAATCCGCCATTTTTAACTAGAATGATTCAAGCAAGAAAGGGAAATTCCCGTCATTCATTAAGGTGGGTAGATGGAGGAGAAAAATTCATTTCCTCCTTATTTGTGAAAGAAAATAAGTGTAAAGAGGAGATCATTTAAGTTGAGGGTGGGGAAGTAACAAATTATTGTTTTCACTCCTATTATTGGCTATCAATCAAGCATAAAGGCGGGACACGCGGATCGGGTTCTCTTTATTTTTTCTTTTATGACTGAAAGAATCTGCTAAAGAAAGAATGTTACCCCCTTCCCCCCCCCCGCCTCCTAAATATTACATGGTATGGGGAAGAATGAATGTTTTGTTTCTCAAGGACGTGTATCCTTTTAGACCTATTCAAATTTTCCATTCTGACTCCCCCCACCCACCTTAACGCTTGCCCCGTTTACCCTTTTCCACAGTATTTCTTCTTTCAATAAAAAGATTCCAGGAAATGCCTCTTTCACTAGCCACCTGCATGGGAAAGGAAGGGGGAGGGGACTCAGTTGCGGTCTTTTGAAAACAAATCTCCCTCTTTTTCCTACATTCCAAGGGAGGAGTGTCACTAACAGTCACTCAATGGTGTTAGTAGATCTTCACTTCCCCTTTCTGGTGATTTATGGGTTCGATGCATGAATCAGAGGTTCAGTGCAAGCTAGAAAAAAGAAAATGTGTCAAAAGATCTTTTTTTTTTTAAGGAAAGGGGAAGATGGGGAGATGTTTGTTTATTTTGATTGTTAAAAAGTGTCCGGGAAATCGACCCTTCCGGGAAAGGGACGTCCGGATATGGGACGTTACACTGTATACATAAATGCACACACATACACCAGATATGTCTGTGGATTAATGCAAAATCTATAAATGTCACTTTTTGTAAAAGGTTATCATCTACGTTAAAAATTATCCTATCAATGCAAACAACTAAAAACAAACTTTCAAGAAATTAATAGAAGTTGCTTTCCCTCACCTAGTATCACGCCATAAACGAATAAGTACTCATTACAATAATTTTTTAACGATAATAAATTTTATTTAATGCATTTTAAAACTTCAATATTATTTGATCTTGCAAAGTAGATATATTGATGTTAAATATGCACCTGCTATCTAAAGAAACTGTAACACTTGAATCATTTAAAGTCAATTTTTGAATAGATTTTCCTAAATCCTGCAATTCAGATTGATCAGATGGAAATATTCCAGCGAAAACCTAAAAGAGAAAGTGTAATGCTAATTAAACAAACAATCAAACATTTTAAAAGGTAGTAACGAGTTATTTCTGCAAAGTACAAAAAAGCTTCTTTATGTTATGCAATAAAAAAAAGATGTCACAGAATCTATTAATTGAATTCCTTTGTAAAATAACTCAAACTTCAGTTAAGCAATAAAAAAGTAGACAGTGAGTCAAATATTTATTTATGTCCCAATTCAGAAACAATACATTTTGACTAGTTGTCTATAAAATGCATTCAAAATATAGATATTTATGTAAATATCATTTGCTTAATTCTTAATTATTCTTTAGAAGAGTTTCTGAAATAATTTAGGACTATTTATCAACATTCCATCATACTAAGCTTAAATGCAGAAATCATATTAACTTACTCAAATGTTGAGATGTTAGACAACCCTGCAAAAAATGGTCACCACAAATCAATACAAAATTGTACTGATATCAATATAAAACTTTTAATAATGACATCACCATTGACATGAATAAAATCATTAATTCACCATGACAACAACATATGTCAATACTACTTTAATGATACCACCATTAATGTCAACAATTCTAGCACAATAGTAATATCACAACTGATGTCAAAACATGTAAGCACCACAGTATTGGGATCAACATTTTATTAATTAGATGTATAACAGGGATGTCAGCATTTAGTAAGGTTTTTCCTTAATTGCCAAGAAAGGTTTCTGTAGTATTTGGTAGAGTTTTCGTTTTATTCATGTAAAAGGTATAATAGGCACAAAGGCAAAAATAATATTAAAATGAAATATTTGATTGATATTCTAGAATTTTTAGAAAAAAGGATTTAAAACTTTAATATGATTAAATGAATGTATATTAGAAAAACGACATAATCAATAAATAAAAAAGTATTGATCCTAAAAAAATCAATTACAGTGTAAAGTCGCGTATCCGGAATCGGTGGGACTTCCAGAAGTCCGTATAATAGATTTTTCCGTATAATAGACCCCCAAGGTAAACAAAGCTTAAAATGATTTAATAAACGATCTGAATCTAAGAAGCAAAAAATAAATAAACATTATTTTTAAGGGGAATAATGTTTTAGCATTAGAATATCTAATCAATCAAATATAAAATATTAGAAAAAAAATATTATTGCTGAAAATATGGAAAACGAAAAAAATTTAACAGTTATGAAAATATTAATCCGCCATTTTGAACTAGAACGATTCAAGCAGGAAGAGGAAATTCATGTCATTCTGGAACAAAGCTTAAAATGATCTAAATCTCAGAAGCAAAAAATAAATAAACATTATTTTTAAGGGGAATAATGTTTTAGTAATAGAATATCTAATCAATAAAATATTAAATATTGGGAAAAAATATTATTGCTTAAAATATAGAAAACGAAAAGAAATTGACAAATGAAAATAATAATCCGCCATTTTTAACCAGAATGATTCAAGCAAGAAAGGGAAATTCCTGTCATTCATTAAGGTGGGTAGGTGGAGGAGAAGAATTCATTTCCTCCTTATTTGTGAAAGAAAATAAGGGTAAAGAGGAGATCATTTAAGTTGAGGGTGGGGAAGTAACAAATTATTGTTTTCTCTCCAATCATTGGCTATCAATCAAGCATAAAGGCGGGGCACGCTGATTGGGTTCTCTTTATTTTTTCTTCTATGACTGAAAGAATCTGCTAAAGAAAGAACGTTACCCCCTTTTCCCCCGCCTCCTAAATATTACATGGTATGGGGAAGAACGAATGTTTCGTTTCTCAAGGATGTGTATCCTTTTAGACCTATTCAAATTTTCCATTTCGACTCCCTCTCCACCTTAACGCTTGCCCCGTTTACCCTTTTCCACAGTATTTCTTCTTTCAATAAAAAGGTTCCAGGAAATGTCTCTTTTACTAGCCACCTGCATGGGAAAGGAGGGGGAGGAGATTCAGTTGTGGTCTTTTGAAAACAAATCTCCTTTTTAATACATTCCAAGCGAGGAGCGTCACTAACGGTCACTCAATTGCTTTGGTAGATCTGCACTTCCCCTTTCTGGTGATTTATGGGTTCGATGCATAAAACAGAGGTTCAGTGCAAGCTAGAAAAAGAAAAAATGTGTCAAAAGACCTTTTTTTTTTTTTAGGAAAGGAGAAGATGGAGAGATGTTTGTTTATTTTGATTGTTTAAAAGTGTCCGGGAAATCGACCCTTCCGGGAAAGGGACGTCCGGGAAAGGGACGTCCGGATACGGGACGTTACACTGTATATGATAATTATCACACAATAGATTTTCAGTTAAAGCATCATAAAAATGAAACTAAGTGAAAATATATATTTCAAAAGAATGACTTTCATGCATGAGAAATAATATATATTAACCCTTCTGGTGGCGCTAACGTGAAATAGTTTTACTCTTAAAAGGGCAGACAATTTACCAGAGAGGTACCTCAAACGGCGAGGGTCAGACAAAGGGAATGTCTCCCCCCTTCTTTTTCCGTTTGTTGTTAAGAGAATTATTCATGCTCTATGTGGTCAGTCAGGGTATTGACAGTTTGATTGATGAAACTCAATTTGTAGTTCACTCTTCAACTATCTTTTTTGAATACCTGTGTAAAGCAATGTTTGTTTCCATAAGGTTTTTAACTTTTTATAATTTATATTTAAATGATAGCTGTTTGGTTCTCACCTTCCTCGTTTATAAAGTTTATTAGAGCAATATTATTCAAGTTTTTCTAAAAAAAAAACTCGCAATAAGTAAAATAGAAATTTTATATTTGAAAACAATAGTCTTCATTTTTTATTACTGAATTTTCATTTATTTAGTGATTACTATCACTACACATAGCGTAGATACTAATTGCTATAAAAATCCTTTAATTTTCTACAGTTCAAAATTTTGTACTGTGACAATCTTTTTTCTTTTATTTAATCTAAACCATTATAATTATCTTCCTTTTAAGTTATATCTCTGATTTGGATAGTACGTCAATTAGAATAAAATTTTATCAACAATATTCAAAATGTAGCTAAGGGTAATTTTAACTAGTATTAGTTAATTCCTTTTTTTCTCCCATTCTTTATAAAATTGAAGCTTAACTCTTTGTGTACCAAATAAATTTCCTTGTTGCTCGTAAATAGTACTTCCATGCAGAAACCGAAAATATTGCTGAATCCGAAAATATGAAAGATGACATGGCTTGATAACCTTTGTTAAAATATTTTTTAAAACCTGATTATTGAAGTCTGAACAAAACTTTTGAAATTTTTCGCCTGAGAAAATTTGGTTCTTCCATTAAGGATTCGTAAACTGGTGTAGTGTCGATCACAGTTACAGCCTTTTTTTAGAAAGAAAAAGAAAGTTCATTTGCTTTTTTTCCCATTTCTCTCTGAATTGAAGAATTATTGAAGAATTATTCTTCTGAAGAATTATTGAAGAATTTTTGTGTTGATTTTTTAATATAATTTTTAATTTTCACAAATTATGTCTAAATTTTCACAAAAATGTTTCACACACGTCTCAGAAAAACCTAGACAATTTTGCTTTGACAAATCATTAATTTTGACAAATCATCGGAAGCAATTTTGACAAATCATCAGAATAGATATTTAGCCAATTTTTTTCTTTTAAATTTCTCTTGCCTGCATTGCAACTTTTATTTTTTCAATTACAAATGCAATTAGCTCACATTCACAAGTAAAGAAAATGGACATGAAGCTGTTTGGGTTCTGCAAGAACATCAAGGCTCTTGCCTAAAGATTTGTGGTGATAAAATTTCAAGAACCTTTTTTAGCTTAAAAATTTTCCTGATAAGTTGTACAAATTTTATAGCCTTTGTTTTTTCCCAAACCAATAAAAAAATTTCCAAACAAACAATCAAAGCAGGATAAAATTATAAATGCTGAAAACAGAAATTTTCGTGATAGTGATCAAAGAAAATCACACTTTTTTGTGATTTTAATTGATTTTTTAACGAAATTTAAAATGTTTGAAGCATTTAATATAAGGTACTCTATAAATTCTAACAAACAATTATCTTCCTTAGAATGCAGTGACATAAAAATAATGATATTTCTGGCTTTCCTCTTATGTAATGCCTTATACCTTACTTATGCAAGGTTCGTGATTATTTTGATTTATATCAGATTTTTTTGATTTAAATCAGATTTTTTTTTATTCAAATACACTGTAAGAACTTTAATTTATGATTAAAAAAACTTCAGAAATGTTTAATCAAAATTAAATTAACATTAAAACTATATTATAACAATATTTTAGAAGCTCTAACTTACTAAAATAATTTTTCGTTATACAATAATACAGAGCTTTGAATGCATGTCAACCATTTTGGAACAAATGCATGACTGAAATTGAAAGACTAGATGAAATAGAGAATTTAAAGAATACTTCAGGGGTCTGTTTAGGTTGTTTTTCTGAAAGGTACCTATTTTGTGAAAATGTAGACATAATTTGTGAAAATTAAAAATTATATTAAAAAATCAACACGAAAATATGGTAGAAATATGGATTTATCGTTTCTTACAAGACACAAAAATAAAATGTTAGAAGAAGTATTTTGTGAAATTATTCTACAGTTTTTCCTAAAGTTGAATTTGTGAAGGTACCGCTAAACGGCAGTAAATTTGGTTTGGACAGGCCTCTGTACTTTAACTGTTAAAACAAAGTTTCAATTAGCAAACCATAATTCTAATTTAAAATCGTGATTTCTTTTTTTCCCCTTGATTTTTAAAATGACAAAATAAATAAATATTTAATCTACATATATTTATAGTATTAAAATACTCATTTAAAATAGATAAGTTAAACTAAGAAATTTTTTTAAAAAATCTATGTACTCATTGGAGTTTTTTTTACAAAATTTCTTCATAGAAAATCTGATAAAGTCAAAGATACTGTAAACATATTATAAGAAAGAAAAAAAAATTAATAACCCTACTGCTTCAAATAGACTTGAAAAGGAAGAATGCAACGATATCAGGAAAAAATATCTGAATTCATCAGCATTTTTTCTTTATATTTTTAGCATATTAGGGTAATTTCTTTTTAATATAACCTCAAGCTTCAGAAATATATATTTTCGACCAATAAAATATAATGTAGATTTTAATTCTCTACTTTTTCAATTAAAAGGTAGAATTTTAATTAATATTATTTGCACTTTTTTTTTTTTTAAAAATTCATGTTTCTTAATTACTTTCTACAGCTATGCAAGTCTATATTAAGACAGCATTAAATGTTTACTTTAATCTGTACTTTCAATCTCAAGAATCAAAAGATTTTTAAAAATGTAATTTCAAATGTGTTGGAATTTGACACACACCAAGAAAGTAATTTCTTTAACTAAAATTAATTAATGCAGCAATTTATTTAAATTAAATTTTAATACTAAGAAAAGAAAATAATAAAAGTATCAAAAATTTAAAACACTGTTTTTTAACTTTTAAAATCAATATATATAGATAAAAAAAATTAGTTGATTTAAATCAATGATTTTTTTTAAAAAATCATTTGAATTAAATCAAGCTGATTTAAATCAACAAATCCTGCATACATGTAAGATATTTTTTTAGATAGACTTTAACATTTTTGAACATCAACACACAAATAATAATTTAAATGATTAACATAGAATTGTATTTAATAAAGATTGGTGGGTATTTTAAACCTTAAAGTATCATGACCTTGATCATCATCTTTAAAATTTGTCAAAAATTTCCCTTCCCAACATATTTTTTCCATAGTCATAACATAGTGACATCAAGGAAGAAATTTTTAAGATGCAACCTAAAATTTGTAGGAGATCAACAATTAGTGAAAAAAGTCAATTAAAGAGTTATGACATTACATTTCTAAATGTGTTTAATGCAGTCAAAATTATAGATGATTAAAATCAGGAGACTAAAACAGAACATGAGTGCATAGTTTTTATTTTATTGTAATTTCATTTTGAAGGCAGTAAATATTTTTATCTATAAAATCAAGAGATCTAATGTTAAACATTCAAAGGAGTTTCAATATATCTGTTGTTATTACAACAAATTCTAGATGAATTTTGATAGAGCCAGAAATTGTATTAAAAATTCTTTTTTTTTAAGTGTGTAAACTTAAATAAATTTTATGTTTCCGATACCTTAAAAAATTTGAAGAAGGCATATCTAATGAAATTTTCAGGAGGGGAAAAAACAGTCAACAGCTACATCGCAAAGAAGATATTGACATTAAACCACCTTATAAAAAAAACTCCCAAATAATCTTACTTTTTCATTAACTTCCTTACTATTTATTTGCATACAATTTTATTTTATTTATATTGTTTACCTAAAGTAATATCGTTACAAAATATTTTGCGCACATTTGCACAATAGCAATAGGTTTGTTTATTGGTCTCATTATACTTCTTTACTGTTTACTTGCATAAAATTTCATAAAACTTAAGATAGGTTTTTATTATTCAAAATGGAGCTTTTACACAAAAAATATATATATAGTGAAATTGTTTCTCTACAATAATTTACCAAATAGGATTTTCAATTATTTTTGCATTTACGAGGATCACTCTGAAATTTTTGAGATACAACTAGGTTTTTAAAGTTACACTTACAAAATTTTAGGTGTGTTCAAAGTAGTCTCCTCCAGCATCAATGCACTTTTGTAGTAGAATTTTAAACAGATTAAATGCCACAAGCCATTCATTTCTTGGAAAAGATGAAAAAAATGCATTTATAGCCACATCAATCTCTTCTTCTGAATGAAAATGACGTCCACGTAAGTTCTTTTTTAGATTAAAGAATGACCAAAAGTCACACATGGCTAGATCAGGTGAATACGGCGGATGTTCTATCACTTTAATTTGTTTTTGTTTAAGAAACTCAACTGTTAATCCAGCTGTATGTGAAGATGCATTGTCACGGTGAAGCATTAGTCCCCTAACATTCACTTCTTGTAGAATTTCTGGAAAACATTTAGTGCTATCCCAGTTTGCTGTCACTGTCTTCTGTCCTACCAACTTGATGGCTTTGACCAATCCCGTGCATCTGAAGAAAGCGGCATACATCACTTTTTTCAGTGCGTGTTGTCTTTTTACCATTATCGAAGTGGGATCATCTTCAAAGACCCATACTCTGCTTTCTTGATGCGTTGGAACGTCAAAGAACGGTATGAAAGTTTCATCACCAGTTACAATTTTAGAAATGATGCGATGGCCACCATCATTTACCAATTTAGGAATTTCTTTACTGAGTCTGACAAGCCCCTCTTTTTGGTGCTCAGTTAGATTATGGGGAACCCAATGGCGAACTACTTTTTTCATATGTAATTCTTCATGAATAATTTTGTGTAAGGCTGCGGATCCAATGTTAAGTTTCTTCTGTATAATTTGATAGGTACAGCGATTATCATCCTTTAACAGTTTTCGTAAGGCAGACACATTATCCGGGATTACTGCTGACGGTGACCTTCCTGTGCGTTCTTCATCCTGAAGAAAATTGTGACCTCTGCTAAATTCTTTAAAGCATCTGAATACGGTAGCACGAGCTGGAGATTCATCACCAAACGCTAATTGTAACCGCTAAACGCATTCTTCTTGATTTAATCCTGCCTTAAAATCGTAGAAAATCATAGTGCAAAAATGTTCTTGCGTCAACTCTATTTTCTCTTCTGTTAAAAATTTATTTTACGTTAAACAAGTTGAAGTAAGTCAATAAAAAATAGTCTGCTGTGTTAAAATACTTTGTATTTTAAAATTAAACCATTATTTTTAATTCGTAAATTCTCGTCTGCGTGTATCTCAAAAATTTCAGAGTAACCCTCATATATTCATAAATTTGAATTATAAACCACAAAATTACCAAAAGATGTAAAAGTCAAATGTTAAGATTGTAAAGAATTAACTCATCCATTCATTGCTAGTGTTGGAATAATGCAGTCAATGGTATGGATATCAATACGTCAAATTCCAATGTCATTTAAACGGATATCATAAAAATGCCAGGGGAAGTCCAGATGTCACATGAACGTACATATGCAAATTTTATAGTGATGTATGCGGGCTGAATTTCTATACTGCTGAATTGTTGACATTAAGATGACCATTTTTTGCATGGTATATTCAACAAAAATTTCCTTTTCAATACTTTTTGGTTGATTAACATAGAGGAAAATCAATTTGTTATAACAGAAAGCAACCAAATCTTGATTGACAATTAAAGGGCTAACGGATTTCATTTAGAAACATAACCAAGATAACCAAAATAATATTAAAGAAAAAACTTTAGTTTATCAGAAATTAATTTAAATGGAGATTATTGTATCAAAACTAATATGCAGTAGAACTAGCAAAATAATAAATAATTCGAACTGTTACAAAATTTTACAATAATAATTCTACCATAGGCTTAGAATCAGCAATAACAGGAAGTTTTTCAACATTAGTATCAGATTTAAACCAAGTGTCTCCGACTTTGGCATCATTAGGATTTTTTATATTAGCCCTAAAGTAGCCAGCTTGTCCTGCAAACCTATAAAAAAGGTTTTTAAAAATTACCTTTTGTTTTATTTATCACATGCACAGACAATGCAGTTTATAATCCAAATTAAAACTTTTTGCCACACTAACAAATTTTGTATTTATATTTTTTTCACAGGGAAAAAAACACAAAATTAATTTTCTTGTGAGTTAAAGACATCTCTACACAGTTCTTAATACTAAAACGATGCATTTGACACACACAAAAAAAAATTGCAATTGGAAAATTTAGAAATATGACTAAGTCAATTAAATTTCTAATAATAATCTGTGTATTGTTGAATCTTTGTAGTATAAAAAGGCAAATATAGGTTAGCATTATCTACAAGTTTTGCTTGAAGCTAAAAGAATTTGCAAAATAGAAAAGAAATTCAACATTATTGGTGTGGTTAAAAGTGAAAATTAATCCTCAATACATTGATTCAATTAAAAAGAGTTTCCATATCTTATTTTCAGCAGTAGAGTCAGATGAAGTTATTTAGTCATAAGAACAGTTTTTTTTTTTTTACTTTAGATTATAACTATAAAAAAGTTTTAAAAAATTTAAAATGTTTTGGTTATAATTTCACATTATAATAGTTTAGAAAACAATACACTCTACTTGAAAATTTTTTAAACATCTTTTTAGAATGTTTTTTATAATTTTTTTTTAACAATTGTGTACGATAAAGTTGTCATACTGGAAAAAATAGACATGCAAAGATTATACATAGACACGCATTTATATTAGTTGAGAATATTTGGAGCAGCTTTGTTTATGAGAAATTATAAACTTTAGCTGATAAATTATCAATTTTATAAGGTATGGGAAAATATAACTAATGTAGCATTGCAGCAACTCTCTTTCCTTTTTATGAGTATCAGTCATCTTATTTCTGCCCAAACTGTCTGACTGTTTGAGATAGTCTCTCTGTGAATAAAATAAGCAGTCTTGGTCTGCCAATTTTTGGAAAAGGAGAGGAAACCTGAGAACAGGGGCAGGAGAGAGGGCTAAGACATGGAGAGAGCTGAGTGGGATCTGAGGAAAAAGAATATGTTGTGATACAAATTCTGAAGCAAGATATATATCAACCCTGAAACTATTGCTGCTACAATTGATAGATCCAGATAATAACTACCTGATACCTACAAATGATTTCTCAGTTCTTTAAGATTTCAAGTCAAGCACATGTGCAAAATAAGTGACTTTAAATTCAATTGATTCTAGTAGTGCAATTCCTTTTCTAATCTTCCCTCTAAATCTGTGTCACATGTTGATTTAGTTTCGTGTAATTTGTAATTATTTTATTTTATTATGCCACATGGTCTAATTTATTTCAATGAGTAAATCTTGATAATTAAGTTAATCATCATTAAAATTGCTTAAGTAAATTTTCTACCTTGTGACCATTATTTCTAGACATATATTTTTTATCTTACTTTATTTGTATGTGTTGGTGATGATTTGGGATAGGCCATAGTTGTTAAATGCATTAGTACTAAATTTGTCAATTATCCCTTTATACTTTACCCAAATTGTCACATGTATTTTGGTGCCGTGATCAGGATAATAAGGTCTGGCAGTTATTTGTGATAAATATAATTCCCAAGTTTGTAGATTAATATTTAAATATTATAATTTTCTCATTCATTTGGCCATTCAGGAAGTATTAAGTTTATTATCAAATTTATGGACCATGTGGTAAATACTTGTTAAAGCTAATTCAGTGCACACATATACTTTAACTTAACTGTGTAATAAGGTTGTTCTATTATCTATTTTTAAGCCAGAAAAATAGCTGAAGGTTTAAAATCCCTACCTTAAATGACGAAAATTATAATGATTTCATTGAATCCTTGGAAACCACCACAAAAGTAGCTGAATGGTCAAAAGAACAACTAATGGTTATAACAAAATTAAAAATGGAAGGAGCTGTTAGGAAGCTTTATAATAACTCGTTAGAAGGGAAAGCTACAGATTACAAATCTCTGAAGAAAGGAATTAAAAGCTATTTTACACCTAATACATCTTTTGCTCAAAATTTTTCTGCATTCTCTACAGCTGAGCAGAATTTAAGTAAAACGGCTAGGGATTTTGCAATGCGGATTGAGGGATCAGCAAAATTGGCAAATTTGCCTATAGATTTTAAAGAAAAAGTAAAATTGTCACAATATATTAATGGCTTCAGCCAGCTCTGAAAGCACAAGTGATTCTTTTAAATCCCCTATCGTTTGATGAAGCTATTGAAATTTCAAGCAGAGTAGAACACTCATTACAAACTCTAAATTCAAGCGTAAATGCTCTTAACACCCCTCCAGTACATAAAACTAATGATATGCCAAATGACTATGTTAATGTTTTAACACTCATAACTAAGCAGAAATAGGATGACTGATACTCATAAAAAGGAAAGAGAGTTGTAGCAACACTACACTAATTAAGACAAGTTATCTTGCTTTCAAAGACAAAATCATCAATTTCTAAGTTAGTCATCAACACATCAGTTCTACAATAGTTGTCAATTTTAACTAACCATTTTAAGAAAGGCGAAATTATCTAAGTTTTCTTTTAATCGTGCTCTACAAGAGCGATAGCTTTGGAAATACAGTAGCAATAACATCATCACTATTAACAGATTTGTGTCAAGCCTTTTTTCAAAAAGGACACTTCTTTCTTTTAAAAAAAAGCGACAGACCAAATGCTATATTATTAGGGTTCATTTTATGAAAACAAGATAAATTTAGCAGGATGCTTTTGGGGTCAGGGCTTAATCCAGGTTTTCAATCCTAGTACCTATTTTTGTGAAAAAATTTTTTATTTTTGTGAAAATTAAGTATTGATAAAAAAAAAAATTTTGTAACAAAACTTGAATTGTTTTGCTCTTCAATCATTGGTTCCGTAGCATTTTTAATACACTGTGCCTCGTTATCAACTGTGACGGTTTTTTCAGACGGCGACTGTTGTGACGGTTTCTCCTCAGTTTTCTCAGACTGAAAAATTTTTTTAATCGATTTCGTTCCTATACTATCGATCGTGCATAAACGCTTCATATAATAATCACTATTCCGTGAGCCACCCGCTCCACTTAAATTTCTTCCTCGCTTCATCATAAAAACTTTTCATAAATCTTGTTAAAAAATACGAATAGAACACGTTTTACGCTAAATCATAACAAAAACACTTGTCTGGGAAAATGAGTTGAGTTGTTTACGTGCTGGCTCAATTTAGCCGGTTGCCTAGTATAAAAACTTCACCACTCACTCCGATTGAATGGCGTATTTAGGAGAAGTGACGTCAGCATATCAAGCCTGTTTTCGAGCTAGTGCGGTTGCGCGGAACGCCGTCCGATGGCGTACCATACGGCGTTCACTGTGAATCCACTTTTCCGTGAACCGCTCGGAAAACTATTCAGCACTTTAATTCCTTCTAACTTTCTTTTTTATTTTCGTGAAGATGCGTTTTTTTTTNCAAGTGCAAAAGTTCAACATGACTAAATGAGCTGTTTTTCTTCAGTTGCTGATTATTATGACAGTTGTTTAGGTACACAGAGGTTTTATTATGCTGTCCATAGCTAGAAAGTTTGTTGAAATATTTGGTGAGGTTAGGTTTTCTTTTAGTTTGGAGAGGTTGCAGATCAGCTTCATAATGAACAATATTTATAAAAAAATTTAAATGCATTTTTAAACTTTAATGCACTATTTGCCAAAATAAGTCCAGTATTTATGAAGCAGAAGTAAATATCGGCACTAATTTTCAGTAGTCATGATATAGCAAGCTCACATAATAACATATATTTTCATTTAGACTACAGAGGTCGTTATACAGAGTGTTAACTGTATTAACATAAAACTATAAAAACAAAATTACTAGACACTTACAAATCAGATACTGGAACTTCATTAGGATATAATATACCAATTTCTTTTACTTGAAAACTAGACTCACAAGAAAAGCATTTTATTTCATTGCCAACACTTAGAGAGCCATCAACAATTAGGAGGAGACAAATAACGCCATGATATCGAGAATACCAAGAATCATACAGCAACCCTCTAAATGGTTTATTTCTATCTCCGTTTGGTCTGTAATAAGAATTTAATACTTCATGATAAAAATATATTTGACATGTTTCAGAAAATTTAAAAACAAAAAAATTAAGAATTAAACTTAACAGCAACAAAAAGAAAATCATGAAAATTTCTCTTTTTCTTATTTTGATTATTTCTTTTCTTTTAATTTGAAATTTTGTTCACTCTTTTTTTCAAATAATAGCATTCAAAGAAATTTAGGTGAATATATGCTGTTCTACAATGTAAGAATGCCCCTCTGTACCATTTTTTGAATGAAAGGGCAAAAAGTATCCTGATGTCAATTGTATAGATTATAGGTGGCATAATAAGCAAAGGATTAGAGTTTGGATTAGAAATTATATATGTTAATTGAAAGAGATTATATATGTTGTTAGAAAGGATTAGAGATTATATATGTTAATTGAAGGAGTAATGTTTGTATTCGAATAATATCAAACAACTATTTAGTAATAGAAGTTGTTTGACTTAATTAGATTTAGTCAAACAACTTCTAGTATTTATGGGCTCATGGTAAGAGAAAAATCTTCCAACTTATTCTCCAACTGTCTGACAAGGTCAGATAAGATCAATTAGACCGTTAATCCTCAGAAAATTAAGAACCAGAAGAGGAGAAGCATATGAGTTTTCCCTGGAGAGACCCAAGCATTCCAAGATGTGTTCAGCGGTGGCCTGCTAAGCTTGACATTTAGAGCAGACTACAAAAAGCCTCCTACCATCAAAGAAAGAGTGTGTCCAATCTTGAAAATGCCGTTTGTGGAGCTCTGTCACAGTTTAGAACAAACAAAAAGAACAAACTCTTTTCGCAAATACCAGTGGTGATAGGGAAGGTTCTTCCATTCCTTTGAAATTTCAGATTTAACCTTAGATTGATACTCTAAATAGGTAAGGGCCGAAGAGGAAGTTATAGATTGACTACAACCATCCTTGGCTAAGCAATCTGCTTGCCAAGGATGGCAAGCAGATTGCTTAACCAAGGATGGTCCACAGAAAATGAACATCGTGGAGCTTTGAAAAAAGTTTAAAAAAGAAGGAAATGCTAGTTTTATCTCTAACTATAATCCAGTTGTTAATGTGTTAAAGGGAACTGCGACTATCGGAAAGAATCCAGAGGTCTCAGAAGTCTCGCTCGTTGAGAATAGCTTCGAGGCCTTATTTGATTGCAATAAGTTTGTTTTTAAATTAAGAAAAATCAGGGTTACGGAGACAGGTAGGCAATTTTTGTCCTGGTTTCTCAATGTAGATACCACTGCCAGTTTGCTCTTCCAACTTACTGCTATCTGTAAATATTTCTATGGCGTTATCAGGGATCTCATTAACAACTTTCAATGCCAGCTACTTAAGATGAGCAGGAATATCGACCCTCTTAGTGATCAGAGCAGAAAAACTGAAGTGGAAATGAACTCTGGGGAGTCCCTCTGAATTCAGATAAGATCTTCAGTGGGGTTCAACCCTCCCAAAAGGCAAGTGCAAAAGTTCAACATGACTAAATGAGCTGTTTTTCTTCAGTTGCTGATTATTATGACAGTTGTTTAGGTACACAGAGGTTTTATTATGCTGTCCATAGCTAGAAAGTTTGTTGAAATATTTGGTGAGGTTAGGTTTTCTTTTAGTTTGGAGAGGTTGCAGATCAGCTTCATAATGAACAATATTTATAAAAGAAACAACTGCATAAAAATAAAAATCGAGGTAAGTCATAAGAAACAAAAGTTCGAATTTCTTTGACAATACGCACTAAAAATGTGGTATTTGCTATAAAACTTATTTTCTGAAAGTTTCAGCCCATAAAAATGCTAATTATTTAGACTTTGCTCTTGAGCTACAAAATTTTAAAAAATCACGATTTTTCTAAACATTTTATTTGCGAAATGCCAGTTACATTAGCCATGAGGCGATTAAACTTCTTGCTTGCCAATAGCGTTGAAATATACAAGAAAAATCTGTCAGTGCTTCACACTCGTCCAAATGTTCTGCCATCATTGGCCGTCCACTATCACATAAAACGCACAAAGGTGCATCGGCTAGTCCAATGCGAACTAAATGATTCTGTAGACAGTCATGCCCCATTAATAGTCTAAAAGATGCAACCGCAACTGATCGTGGGTGGTCAGGAATAAAAGCTGAGTTTGTTAAAAGAACACTCCGAGGCTTGCCATCGCACGCCCGAGTGGCAAAATTTCTAAAAGTCTTTTGATATATGAGTGATGTCAGCAGTTTAATGGAATGGAGGCATGCTTTAATTTTGGGCTTTTGAAGAACCGCAGCTCCTCTTTTGGCAAGCATATCTGCCATCTCATTTCCATAAATACTGCAGTGTGAGGGTACCCATTGAAAAGATATCTTGTGGGAAAGTTCTTTTATGATTTCCTGGCACTGCTTGATTAACATGTTCTTACACTCTTGATAAAAGGAGATGGCCTGCATTGCAGAAGTTGAATCTGAAAGGATAACTGCTTTCTTGAAGGAGTTCTGTATCAATGATAGTTGTTGAAGAGTCACCTGGATGGCTTTCAGTTCTCCATCAAAATGTGTGAATTAAGCCCCTACGGGTAAGTAGAAACTGAAAAGTTTGCTAAAAACTCCAGCACCAGCCCCCTAACTGTCAGAGAACCATCCGTGTATGTATGTATGTATCTATTCCTTAGCAGGAAATCACTGCTCAATTGTTTCCAATGCAATAGCTTTTATTTGCTCTGGACTCATTTCTTTCTTATCAAAATTTTATATTCAGGTCCAACCGCACATCAAGGAAGTTATAGTCCAAAGGGTTTGTCAAAAACAGCAGTGCTGGTTTCAGTGCTCTTATGTCATTGTATTGTTCAAGGCGAGAGACACACTGCAGGAAACTATTTTGAGTCTTCAGATTTATTTTTTTTCTAAACAAAAATGGGATATTTTCCACTAGAAATTCTGAAAAAATAGTTGTAGAAACATAAATTTGAGCTTATTATGTAGATAATGCTTTCAGCTGAAAATTTCATAAATGAAATGTCTTAGTCCAATGAACATATCAAAGGATAATAGGTGTCTTTTCTAACCTTACCAAAAAAAATTGACATTTGAAGGAAAGGGAAAAACTGCATACTATCAGTAACTATTTAAAGTAAGAAAGCCTAAATAGTAATTTTTAAAACAATATAGGAATTTAAAAATAACATGTTTATAAAGAAAAAGGCTTGATTTCAGATAATTCAGTCATTGACATAAAACAAAGAACCATGAACTATGTAAACAATAACAAATTTAGTAATCAGAGTAAAATTAATGCTTATATAAAATTAAAAAAACTAAACTCAGTAGCGCAACAGCCCATAGAGGGCCAACCTACTGTGACCGTTTCAGTTTTCTTGACCTTGGGCTCTGGGGTGCAGGAGCAGATGTTCCGGTTAGGTGGTCAACCAGACGCGAAATCCCCAGTGTTTAGTTCCCAAGCAGACTTGGTACTCATTTATCAACTCACTGAAGGGATGAAAGGCTGAGTTAACCTTGCCTGGCCAATGGATCGAACCCAGAACCTTTGCACAGGAACACGAAGCACTACCACTTAGCCACCGAGCATTATTAATACTTATAACATTTAAAAATAAATAAAAAAGTTACAGAGTCAAAGATTTAAAGGCTATGAAAGAGAAACATTATTTTAATTGTTTCTCTTATGCTTAAAATGAGCAAACACCTATCTAAATACCAAAAGACAAACTCTTCCAGTTTGGAATGTAGACTGTCATTGTTATTATTATTCAACAATTTATTTAATTGAAAAGAGATGATGATTTTAAAGAACAAAAATTTTTGTTATTTTTAATTTTAAAGAAGCGAAATAAATCGAATCTCTACTGACTGAGGTGATTCACTTTCTCACAATAACCAATTACCCTTCTTGACATCCAAAATTGACTCTGAATCACAAACAGTTAAAGCAATCCCATGTTTCAAAACAGCAAAATAGGACACTAACTATTATTTCAATGATCAATAACTGTGCTCCATTTATTACTTTTAACAGTGTTCTATGAAAACTAAAAACGTGTTAATAAAATATTTATTATGGCCACAAAAATATTAAAAAACTCTTGTGTTTTACGATTTTAAGTAAAAAATTTCAGAACAAAATTTATATTTCCTAAAAATATGGGTAAAGCTTAATCAATAAACTTTCAAGCAATTTTTCATAAACTTTAATACCAGTTTCTAAGTTTTTGCAGTATGCTGGTAAGCCATCATTTTCATAAATAGAAAAATAGAATAAAAAATATATTTAAAAATAGATAAGTGTAGCCACCAAATTTAAATTCATAGAGAACTTTGATTTCGCTTCTGGCCATTGTTTTATTTGATTACAGAGTAGTGCCACAAAGTGAGACATAAAGCACTTTTCATGGCAAATATTAAAACAAATAAAATATTCATATTATAAACTTTTTGGCACAATATTTACAGTTCAAGGATTTGGACGTGCATAATATTATGGTAGCAATAATAAACAAATTAAACATTTTAAATATATTGAATATTTTAAATATATTTAAGATTTAGGTTATATGATTTTTAATTGAATAATATTTTTCAGAAGAAATTTTTGTTTTGAACCAAGAAATAAAAATTGGATCCAAAGAAAGTTCTCCTGTACAAACTAAAAATAAATGAAATAGCAAAGACTCATCATACAATTATATTTTAGAGTTTTTACAGTATCTCTAAGTTTTGTTACGCTAATTAACAATTTAAAAATGAGAGAAAACAATAACAAAGAAGTATCATTGATATAATTTTATTAACCTTTCTAATAATTTTTTATGAAAAAATTTCTAATTACTAAATCCTAACATGAATGCCTGAAATTTTCATTTTATAAACAATTTCAAATTGCATGAGTATGGTACAATTAAACACTAGAACGGCCAGACCGGTAATTTTGATTGCAAAACGATTCGAAACACGTTTAACTTTTTTTGGTTTTCACCGATTTCTTTGATTTTTTCTGACTTTTCCTA